GGATAGCTTCACCCGCCTCAAGGCAGTCGACATTCCCGCACCGTTGTTTAACTCCGACAGAACAATGCTCCTTACTGTCAAAGCGCAGATTTGCAAGCGTTGGACTGAGCTCTTCAGAGCCGTCCTCAACTGCCCATGCACAATCTTTGACGACGCCATCAACCGGCTACACAGATAGACGCCAATACTGACCTAAACTTCTTTACTTCCCTCTCAGAAACCATCAGAGCTATGCAATAGCTCTCCTGTGGGAAGGCACAGGCGTCTGAACCAATCTCAATCGAGCTCTATAAACATGTTGGCCTCAGCTGATGAATAAACGCACATCAGTGTTCGTGATAATATGGCGACAAGGGCAGGTCCCACAAGACTTCAAGGACATTATCCTCGTACACAGAGAAAAATCCAAGGGCAACAGTCAGCTCTGTAACGATCACCAAGGCATTTCCTCCTCAACGCTGCAGGAAAAATCTTGGCCTGTTTCCTCCGCAATCGCCTGAACACTTACTGGGGAAAAGGCGTCCTCTACGAAGGCTACTGTGGATTCCGAAATAGCCCCAACACCGTCTATGTGATCTTTGAACGCGCCAGCTGCAAGGAAAATGCTGGGAACTATGGTCCAGCCTCTACACTATCTTCGTAGACCTAATAAAGCACCACGACACAGAATGAATCGTGATGAGCTCTGTAGAATTATGTAGAGATTCGAATGCCATCCGAGCGATTCACTCAGATGGTATTCCAAACTCACGACGGAAAAATGGCATTCATGACGGAAAATGGAGTTGTCTTGGACGCATTTGCGGTGACCGATGAAAGTAAAAATGACTGCGTACATGCTCTCACTCTCATCAGACTTGTATCACCTGTCATGCTGATGGACATCTATCTTGAATTGTGTCCACACATCCACAATATCTACAGGCGAGCCGACGGACTCCCCAGCGTTCGAGGCGTGCCTGCCCCAGCCCGAGTCTTCAAGATACTATTCATAATCCGCTGTTCGCAGACACCACGACCGAAGGGAATTCGCAACTAAGCATGGTGTACTCTCGTATCTACAACCAAGAAGAGCATTCCCCAAGTTCTACCACCCGTCACCATCAGGAATTCAGGCCGAATCCCTGCATGTTTTATTGCAATCGCAACTTTGCGTCACACATTGGTCTAGTCGGACACCCGCAAGTCCATCGCGTCTTCAAGTGGCCCTTTACGCAGCCACCGCGACTATCTGGATGCGCGTGTGTATGCGAGGGTGAAAGTCGGTCAAAGGTCTGCAGGCCAGCGAGTTGGAAGCAGCTGCCTGCGAAGTTGTATGTGGTTGAGAAAGTGGGTGTCCTCACTAGCTCGCGTCGAAGCGAACTTTGCCAAAACTCACTGCTGCTGTTCTCGATTTCTGGGAACAGCCAATCACAGATGCCGCAAAACTGGCCTTTGGCCCGGCAACGAATAACACGCCTGCACGCCTAGGCAGACGTAGTCTGTCTGGCCAAAAAGCATTCAAGGTTGACCCAGACAATGACTGTTCATACTGATTGCTGGGATGCCTGCGGCCCGGC